ATCTTCTTATACCCTTCCAACTCTGTAGTTTTTTATAATTGTTTTCTTTACAATTTATTCATTATATATCCCAATTGAAGCCCCCTCCCTCAACTCCCCCAAGTCCCATCCTCTCTCCCTCTTCCTCTCATCTCCTTCCCTTAGTCCACTGAAAGGGGGAGTACTTCACCACTGCCATCTGCCTATAGCTTGTTAAGTTTCATCAGGGCTGCCTGGATACTCTTCCTCCATGGCCTGGCAAGGCTGCATCACCAGGGGCAAGTGATCAAAGAGCAGACAACTGAGTTCATGACAGAGACAGCCCCTGCTCCCCTCACTCAGAAATCCACAAGGAGAATGAACTACCAATTGGCCACATCGGAGCAGGGGTTCTAGGTCCTCTCCATGCATGGTCCTCCATTGGTGCATCAGTCTCTTCAGGACCACCTGGGCTCAGATCCTTTAGCTTTGTTGGTCTCCTTGTGGGGTCCCTGTTCCCTTGTCAAAGATGTTAAAACCATACAATGGAAAAAAAGATAGCATCTTCAACAAATGGTGCTGGTCTAATTGGAAGTCCACATGTAGAAAAAAGCAAATAGACTCTTATCTATCACCTTGCACAAATTAAAGTACAAGTGGATTAAAGATCTCAACCTAAAACCAGACACACCAAATCTGTTGGAAGAAAAATTGGGAAAGAGCCTCGAACTCATTGGCACAGGAGACAATTTCCTGAACACAACACCAATAGCTCAGGTTCTAAGATCTACAATTAATAAACGGGACCTTATGGAATTGAAAAGCTTCTATAAAGCAAAGGACACTGTCATAACAAAATGACAGCCTACAGACTGGGAAAAGATCTTCACCAACTCTACGTCCAATAGTGGGCTAATATCCATAATATATAAAGAGATCAAGAAATCAGACACCAACAAAGCAAATAATACAATTAAAAAATGGAGTGCAGAGGTAAGCAGAGAATTCTCAACAGAGGAATATTGAATGGCAGAGAAACATTTAAAGAAATGCTCAACATCCTTAGTCATCAGGGAGATGCAAATCAAACGACTGATATTCCATCTTACACTGATCAGAACGGCTAAGATTAAAAAAAAAAAAAAAACTCAAGTGACATGCTGGAGAGAATGTGGAGAAATGGCTCAACTTTTAAGAGCACTTGTTTTTCCAGAGGACCTGGACATCTCTATTCCTTCTCAGGGGACCTAAGCATCCTCTACTGGCCACATAGGGCATGCATGCATGTGGTGAGCAAACATACATGTAGGCAAAACACCCCCACACATTAAAAGTTAAAAACGGGGGGTGCTGGAGAAATGGCTCAGAGGTTAAGAACACTGGTTGTTCTTCCAAAGATCCTGAGTTCAATTCCCAGCAAACATGTGATGGCTTACAGCCATCTATAATGAGATCTCTTCTCTTCTGGGATGCAGGCAGAACACTGTATAAATAATAAATATTTTAAAAAGTTTAAAAAAATGAAAGAAGATTAAATAAAAAAGAAATGTAATCCAATAATGAGAGAAAACCCAAAAAGTCTCACCATAAAATGCCCCCATTAAAAAAAAAAAAAAAAAAAAAAGACAATCGTTACAGCTGATGACTAATTTCCAGAAAAACATTTTCCCCGAAGTTGAGTGGGGCAAGTGTCTGAAAACAATGTATTTATGACTCTGATGTATATGGTTTAGTTCAGAATTCTTATCATACTTAAATTTCATCCCACATGTTTTGTGATGGAATGTGAAAACAATCTTATGCTGTAAAAGTCTTTTATAAGTAGTTTGTAGCTCCCATGAAGACAGGTTAGCAAACTAAGAAGGTTATACTATCTCCTGCATATCATGGAGAGGCTCATATCACTTAACTACAAAACTGATTATGAAAATCCAATGGCTTTGAAAGACTCTAACTAGCAGTGTTTTCAAAGCAAAGACTCATGACCAAACCTTTGGCAGAGTACAGGGAATCATAAGAAAGAAGAGGAGTTAGTATGATGGGGAAAGGATAGGAGCTCCACAAGGACCAAATATATCTGGGCACAGGGTCTTTTCTGAGACTGACATTCAACCAAGGACCATGTATGGATATAACCTAGCACCTCTGCTCAGATGTAGCCTGTGGTAGCTCAGTAACCAATTGGTTTCCCATAGTGAGGGGAACAAAGACTATTTCTAACAGGAACTCAATGACTGGCTCTTTGGCCTCCCCACCCCCCAAGGGAGGAGCAGTCCTGTTAGGCCACAGAGGAGAGCTTTGCAGCCAGTCCTGAAGATACCTGATAAAACAGGATCAGATGAATGGGGAGGAGCTCCCCCCCTATCAGTGGACTGGGAAAGGGGCATGGTAGAGATGAGGGAGGGAGGGAGGGACTGGGAGAGAATGAGGGATCTGGACACGGCTGGGATACAGAGTTAATAAAATGTAACTGATAAGAAAAAAAATAAAATTCAAAAAAAAAAAAAAAAAAAAGAAAAAGAAAGTCCAATGGCAAAATCTACAAAATACTACAAATATAATTTCTGGTCTCTGAATAGGTTTGCAAGTCACAGTCAGTGCCAGCTACATAAGGCATAAGCTGGAAGGAGCCAAGTGCTTAGAAATGGAACAGTTATATCCACTTTGGTGGCGAAAGTTAGTCTGTGTGGTGGACCTGCCTAGCTGACTAGACTGATGCGTGCACATGCTGTGTTAGCCATGTCTGCATCTAAAGTAAGTAAAGGTTACATTTGCTAGTGCATTATTATATATATTTATTTTTCTTAGTTTATGGACATATTTGTTGCATGTATAGCAGAATTAAGAATTAGGGCTGGCAGGATGACTCAGTGGGTAAGGGCCCTTGCCATGTAAGCATGGTGACCGAGTTTGCTGGCACCAACATAAAACGGAAGGTAAGCAGGGTCCACAAACTTGTCCTCTCACCTCCACATGTGTGCTGTAAGACATGTGCCCACATATACAAGCACATGCCAGACAAGAATAGATACAAAAATTATTTTGCCTTGTTTTAGTTGAAGAGGGTCTTTGTATAGGTAGTAGTCCCACAATACTAAGACTGTGCCGTAAAAGAAATGCATATGAATTACTGTTTAGTGTTCCATGGTGCTATTATGATCCCTTGGATAAAGCTTTTACTAACAGAAATGATCACTCTTTAATTTGAATTTTTTTCTGAAGTGTAGCTTTTGATACAGCAAGCTCTCTTGTAGTGGACCGTGACATTATTCTCTTGTAGTATATTCTACTTTAACAAACAAATGCATCCCTGAAGACTGATAATTTCCCTGTCAGTGAATATGCATCATGACTAAAATTCACAGGGATATTGGTCATGCCATTCTGGGTATTTGGATAACTGGAAGAAATACTCTCTAAGAAGCAGTACGGTTAGAAAGCAAGTCAAAACAGAAGACTAAATTTCTATCTACAGTGCACAGACCTGCAGTTTCACACAAAGATCATCTTTCTTTGATGCAGCCATTTATTCCCTAAGAAGCATAGGTTAGGAGTGCATTTTTTTAAAATGAAAGTCATATTGTAATATGGAATGCAGTTGAGTTTTGATTGCTAAGTTCAGATTCCAACAGCTGTCTGCCAGTGACCTTGAACTGATACACAGAATAGTCATTAGGACTGCAGGAAATTCAAAGTAAGCAAGCCAATGAACTTTTTTCCACTCATTTGCTGAGATAGGTACTCTCCAGGACGGTACTCATTCACGTAGCTTGGAAATGTGATTGCCCTTGTTTAGAACTTCATGGAACACTTACTGACAGCCCTTCACTGAGAAATGATTCCTTCCTTATCAGTCTGGTGGGGAACATTTGATAAAAAGCCTCCCTCTCATCCTACCAAAATAAATCTGCACTTAACATTAAGAATCAATAACATATCAATGTTTGCAACTACCATCCATGGATCCCATTGTGCATGACTCTGGAGCTTAAGTGTTTTCAACCACATCTATCTATTGAGGTAATAATATAACTGGCAATACATCATTACTGCTTGAACGAAAGGACATGTGCTGATGTTATCAGTTCCATACTAAGGAAAATCATGAAGTGACAATGTGGCCCAAGGACAGAAGCTGCTGACAAGTAAGAGAACACCTGAAAGGAGAAGCAATTACAGAAAACTGAAGTACACTAATTATGCAGGAGAGGAGATGCAATAAATAACAATCAGAGAGTCATGCCACCTCCAGGAGTGTTTTACATCTTCAGTTGGAAGCACAGGGTCCAGGAACAGCTTTTCTTTGTAAGGTGATAACTGGCTGGTATCTTAAAGGACCACCAAAAAAGGCTCTAGGAAGCAAGCCAATATTCACAGTTTGCAAAACCTGAGGCTAGCCTCTAAAACCACATGGTGATTTGAGAGACATATTGACTCACAGACCTCTTCTATTTCCCTGAAAAAGTTCAATAGGTAGTCATTCAAGTCCAACTGTTATCAACTTAGTCAAGGCCATATAAATGGCTTGTCCTTCTTTGCCAATATATTATCCATGCATTCCCATAAGAACTCTGAAACAATGGATAACTTAGTATATCTGTGGGAAGCTTGTGAATTCTTTAAGCTCCCAAATTCCATTTAGAGATTCAGAGAAAGAAGACAGAAAAATACAAAAAATCTAGGGATGCGCTTAAGCCAAAATAGAGTCTGTCACGAGTACAAAACAGCCTACGTCACCGTAAGCAAATAACATCTGCTGAAAATCAAAACAAGCATGACTCTGCTGTACTAGAGAAGTCTTGCTAGCCTCTTAACATTTCTTTTTTAAAAGAAACAAACTGACTGGCCTACAAGTAATGATGACATCACAGAGCATTCCTCCCGTACTTTTTTCTTTCCATGACACAGTCCCAGAGTGGAGCTCTCTTAAATCTGGGAACACTTTCTACATGATTAAATGTGAAACCTGCCAAATAGCACACAAGTCTTCCGCCCACCTTTAAACATGGAGCAGCATGATGTATTGGACAGGTTCATCTTACCGTAAAGCTCTTGGGCCAAAGTACATAAACAGCTCCTTCCCCAAGGTTTCCACGCCACTGTAAACATATCCATTAGACAGGCTCAAGAATGTCCAGCCAAAATCCTTAGCATTCATTGTAGCGGCCTAGTAGAAAATACATACATATGTAACACACACACATATATGCAAACTCTACACACAATTACAATGCAGTTCTTAAACCCAGTTCTATTACTCTATGAAGAGGTTCATCCCTACAAATAAAAAGGACCTCTAACAAGTCAAATAATGCAATTATCTATTTACATATATTTTGTCCAATTACTGTGCAGTCACTGGAAAAAGAGAATAGGCAATATTTAAATTGAAAAATAAAAGTCACTGTAAATAATTAAGATGACTTTTTCCAAGACCATATTGTGCTTGTGTGCACACATACAATTACAGGAAAGCCATGAGAATGTTGTAAAAATAACAACTACGCTATAAAACTTTCTACTTCTGAAACGCTATTTAAAGTTCCTTGGAACAAATATTCCAATCAGAGTGTACTGCTAAAAGTGACGATGAATAAAATAGGAAAACAAAGATTTTTAACTGCACTGGTGAAACTTTAGGGATAGTTGAATCAAAGTCTGCAATAAGAGAGACAACCAGCAAAGCCCAGAAGCGTTTGTTTTATTTTTTTTCCTTTTAGCACAAGGCATGTAAGAATGAAGCCTGGCATTCAGTGTAGGGAATTTAATTCATGATCCGCCCCACCTAAGCCATAATGTGAATACAAAGAAAGGGAAATTCACTTTCCCATCAGCCTTCCAAAACAAAACAACATAGTTAGAATTGAAATTCATGTAATCACAAATAAAACATAATGTGAAACATAAATACAAAATATAGTTTCCTTCGTAGGGGAAGGTACGGAATGGGATTTGATTTAAATATTGGCAATGTTTGGTTTCTTAAGCTGCACATTATATATACACCAGTGCTTCTTATATCATGTTTTATTGTTTAAATGTTTCACAGGCATCACTTAAAGAACACTCTAAATTTAGTAAAAATATTAAACTTACACACACACACACATATATTATAAAATAAAAGAGGATGGAGAGACATCTCAGTGGTTAAACAAAGTACTTACTGCTGTTGCAGAAGATTGAGTTTTGCTCAAAGCACCAAGACAGAACTCATAACTAACTCCAATTCTAGAGGATCCTAGGCTATTTTCTAGTCTCTATAGGCAGTAGGTACACATATTCTGCATGAAATGATCTGAAGAGCTGAAGAGTCTCCAGCTCTCCCCTGCCCACCTGAAACAATTTTATACACACACATACACAACATGCTGCACAGTACGCATAAAACATAAACTCTTAATCTGTCATTCCCCTCAAATTTCTTTTTCTTTCTTCTCAAAGGGCTAACATTTGCCCAGAAGATTCTAAATAGGGCTGAAAAACATCTCATGTTGTCTTCAATTTCAGGTGGAGTAATATTTTCCCACAGTTTTGAAACTTTGGGCTCATGAATGCTTAGTTGTAATGGCTATCCTTGATTTTATTAAATTTGTCTTTGTTTCATATATATATATATATATATATATATATATATATATATATATATAT